TATATAAATAAATAGAAATTTACAATAACAGCAACCGCGTACTAATCTCCATGATGCGGCGAGTTAATTATATCGTTCGCGTCTGGGGGTAATTTTACCGAGTACGGGGGGCGGCTATAGCTGAATCAGACTCGAAGGCAAGGGCATTGACAACATAAATTGCGGAAAAATAGGCAGGCCAATACGCAGTTAGCCAGGCGTTCTCTCTCGACCGCCTTTCCGACTTGCAAATATGGCTGAAAAAATTGCCAGAAACATTTATAATAGTTGCTGTTGTCGCTAGCGCCAGAAGTATATGCCTACTCTTGATTGTTTTTGTTCACAACGCAGTGATATAGAAAAATCGTGGGGTATCGGCAAAGTCTACACTGGATCGTGGCGGCTACGTCTGCTTATCCATTCGACAGCTGCGGTCTATTTCGAAGATGTATCTCCGCCCGACGCTAAACGCGTGTACTGTAACAACAAGAAGGAAGCTATACGGTTTGCTAACTTCAACTCTCTAAACGACATCCTAGATATAATGCACAGTTGTTACTTGCGGAAGAAAAGCAAATTACTATTGCTTTCATTAGCTTTTACTAAAACGCTGAACGCCTAGGATTCTTCAATCGGGACTTTGGTCCGTATTTGGTTATTCGGTCTACCAAGGCATACCGTGCGCATATTTTCCCATGTTAGTTAGCCACTGCGGAACTATCCAACGTAGAGCAACGTAAATGCAAATTGTTAGCGATTTTCGATTGACCAAAGCGATGGCAGTTTTTTCAATGGGTTCTCTGTTTATAATCGGCTCATCAGCCTTGGACAACCTTTTTTGACAGCAGACAACAGTATCCCCTATAACAATAACGAGTAAGCTTATTATCGTAATTAAAAGCTATTTGCAAGAGGAAGGCGATTGATAAAATTATAGATTGCGTTTCTCTTACAATCACGTTTGCTGCGGAGCATTACGGCTAAGTTAGTAAGATGATCTTTGTTTGATTTATTTAGATTAAATAATTCACTGATTGGCTGATTGGTTGAGACTCGATTGAAGGAAGAGCGGGAAGCCATTGATAGGGTCATAAACGACTTAAAATAGGGACACCGTAGAGATATGATGGGAAGCGTTAGATTACACAACGTTAAACGGCAACCGCTAAAAGTAAAAGTTAGATTAAGAGGCGGAAATGCTATCTTCGCTTGAGAATCATGTACGCTATGGATGAATAGACGAGCCACCGCACACAAACACATTGAGTGTGTCACATGATAATGATGGCAACGACGACGCTGATGATGATTGGTGATTGTGACTTCAAAAACAACGCACGATGCAACTTCGGTCGGTGTGGCATAAAACTTCGATATTCCTGCCCCCGAACCGTTTCGTTAGCAGCTCCAACCTGTCAAATTTTCCTTCTCTGATCCCTCGTTATTTGGGCTTGTATGTTATTTTTACTCCTCGACATCGACATCACAAGGAAATGTGGCTTTTCCAGCTAGTTCTGCTTACCAACGTTTAGCGCACAACGAATAACGACCAAACAAATGCAGCCCCTGTTGAGTGACTCATAATTGTAAAGTTACGTTTATCGCCGTGTCCACGTCTTCCAATAGTGTTCGATTTGTAGCACTGCCACGGCAGATGCGAGTGCGAACGAGTCTTAAGGACAAAATGCAGATAGGTTTTTTTTACTCAGATTTGGCAACTGCGGCCACCAACAACGGAAGAAAGAGAACGAGATACGTGTTCCTTAGTTTTTCTTTTCTTTTTTTACGCTGCTGTTATCGTGCACGTCGCTTAATCTTAAAGCGACACATCTGGGCGTCTCTTTGCTGCAAAGTAGAACTAAATATTCCGTGAGCTAGCGCAAGCACTGGCTGGCTGTTGATACGTTATAGTTTATAGGATGCCGTATTTGCTCACGCGTGTACCGTTGTGGGCCTGTTATGGTACAAATCTAAGTTAGTCTCTTGCTTGTAGTCTGTACGGGTCAGATGTTTTTACAAATCCAAATTCCCACAACAAAAGCGGAAAGAGCGGCATCGCGTTCTGCTTTGCCGTTATCGACGGATAGGCGGATGTACGATGCGAAGTCAAGCCAAAAAAGCTGAAATCTATCTTACTATATAGCGCAAAATGACCACAGTCCTCCTATGCAATGCACAATTTTTCATTTTCATGGTCATTGCGCCAGTGGGGCTTCTAGCTTGGTGCTCTGGAGATTTAACCGTGGCGACAATGACGACGTCGGTGTCAATAAATGGTAACAAAGACATTCGCTGGTGCCATATAATTCCAAAAAAAAAAATGCCACCAAATCTCGTGTGTTGTGACAACGAATAAACAGAGTGTCAGCAAGGTATATGCATCCGACGCGTATCCAAAACAACGTCAAGGAGTACAAGGAGAAAACGGAGCAAAATTATTGTCGAGTCACGCGAATCCACCGACAGTTCAAAGTTCATTGGCTGAGAACACTATGAAAAGTTTGAAAGGGACGTTCTTCAGCGAAGTTTCACCATAAATCCAAGCCATATTCGTATCTATCTATGGTATAAAATTTATTGGTCTTTTTGATACACAAATGAATCGGGTGGTGTTTATAGTGGCATCGGTGGTAAAATATTGATAGTAATCCTTAGTGTCATCATAATCTCAAGGAAACTTTTTACAACTTGTACGTCACGTCTCTGGATCTTCCTACCACTGAAAGGTGCAAATTTTAGTTTGTATTGTTAAAAACACCTGCTGCGATTTTGTTCCTATGTCACGGGCAGAGGACCACTTCTAGCGTTATTACATTTGTCGTACGAATTCTACTAGCAGATAGCGGTGGTAACGATCACTCTGTTATCAGCCTACAATTCTTAATGACGAAATACGCAAATCTTCAATGAGCATACAGATGTACAACGATTCTGTATGGACATTGAAAAAAAAAAAGAAAAAAAAAAACTCATAATCGTTCGCACTCATCGAAAACGCTCTTTTATGTCAGAAAAAACTCATGCTGCTTTCTACCTATATTGCTTCCTAATAACTTTAATAGCAGCTCTTGATCACACGACAAGGATTGAATGAAAAGTACCTTTGGCGTTTTTAGACACTCACCTGAAATACAATGAAAATACACCATTAGATATGATATAACGCTTCGTAGCGAACGATGTGGCAGCCAATTAAGTGTTCCCTAGACTTCATAGTACTAGTAATTTCTTTCTTCGGCACCCATACAGGTCGAAGCAATAACCAAGTTCTTTGTCTATATTATAGTATACGCCTCTGTAGAAGACTCAGGAACCAGACCCATGTAAAGGTTACTTGAGGGAGCGATTTTATCAGTTCACGCTAAACCATGACCGCTTTCATCTTCGTTTTTTCTTCATCTTGAACCTACCAGTTGTGATGATTTTACAAATAAGCCTAAATTTGAAAAATCATCTTATCATAGGCTGTCAGATAAAGTCACAGTCTTAGTAAAATAAGAAGCTTTTATAATTATTTCTCTTCCAATTAGAAATACGTTTTCCTACATGATTCTTTATCGCAGAGCTCACAACCTACTGTGTCGAGCTATCCGATACTTCTCTGCTCTTACAGCCTTTCTAGTAATATCATGTATCTTGGCTGCTTCCGTCCGCTTTCTCGCCTTACGTGACGTGATGAAAAAGCAATAGCCCCCTAACGCAAGAAGGCGGTCTAATATGTAAACTATTTGTTTCGAGTGATAATCGTTCCAAGTCATTCTATTATACTCATGTATCGACGTAGCAATAGTGGCTCGTTAGGTTTACCGGACACAAGGGACACTTGCTTCGTAATTGTCCTGAAAGGGCATAGAAGAGTACCACGTTGTTTATCGTTTAGCAATAGCAGAAGTGGCGTTAACAGTGATTTGGATTAATTCTGCTTGACTTTCAGATTGTAATGGGCACGATCGAAGACGTTGTTCTAATCGCGACCTTTTTCATTTTGTCGTTCCACAGGGTTCCGGACGATTGCGCCGAGTTCCCTACACTGGAAGTAGCCGTCCCGCTGACAGAGGTAAATGCCAATCGTATAGCTGTTAAGAAGTTTCCCTCTTACGCCGAAGGATCGTTATTTACTAACATGATTTTATGTAAAATTCTGGTTTGGCGAAGCGCATTTGGACAGGGGGCTGACTAGGTGTTTCCGAGTTGGGCCGCACTTTTGGAGTGTTTGCGTACAAATTCGCCGCAATACCGTAACCGTGGTGATTTATTCTGGATTACTATGTATAATGCTACCGCTGAAGCGTGATCGAAGAAACGAAATAACGATAATGGTGTTAAGTGTTGACCATATATATATATATATATATAGTATTTCAAACTTACGCTCGCAAATATGCTATCAATAATATGGTGATAAAAATGTGAGCAATTTCAATTCGAAAAATAGATTACTGTAGAAATAAAGGCAAACTACTACAAGGGAGAAATGGCGAAGGGACGAGGCAAATTATCTGATAACCAGAGAGAACCAGATCGGCCACGGAACGTTTCATGCTTCCGAAGGCGCCAGCAGTCATCGTTATTGTTATGGCTGTGAAAATATTGTATCACTATACAGGTACCTTCGCAGCGTTGTGGCATTCGATTCCGTTAGATCCAGAATATTCGACAACATAGATTGCCGGAATATTGATGAGAGCATCACTACGATTGATAACCTTTTTTTTTTTTCGTTTATATCTATTCTTTTTTTCGGTGCATAGTGTGAACTAACGTTACAGTAGCGTGTAACGCAATTGTTCGTTCGTGGACAGAGAACGGCGTCGTACGGTGCACAATACCAATAGAGCGATGATTGAGTTCTACCTGATTTACAGGTTCAAGACGCGCTCATCCCACACCAACGAAATAATAGAAGCGGTAATAAAATTAAAAACTGCTGCCTGTTTATGGGCATGAAATTAGCTCTATCAAGCAATAGAAACAGATAAGGAAGAAGGCAAGGTCCTAGCAAACAATGCTCGGAATAACAAACAAATGTTGTTTATAAAGTGATGTTACGTTCGTTTACTTGACAAGCTGTATCGTTAGAGCTTGCTTATATATTCTGTTGTAAACATCGCACGCGCATCGATTATGCTAAGGATAGCAATGTTGCAGTAATTTTTTTACCTAGGCTCCTGTAATGTGTACACGGTTCACGGTCTTGCACATGCACATGCACATACATGTAGATAGTAATTGGGCTTGTACGTTTGCAGTACATATAATGGCTGTTGTCAATTTCGTTTTCAATCTATCTATCTCCCAGTAAATAGAAAAAGGGTTCTTATTTCTATAATTGGTTGACTACTGCTGACGCTGCTTCGCGCATTGGCGCGGCATGACGCAGCGCACCTCTGGCTGCAGACGGTGTCTACGACTAGCGCGCAACGTGGTTAATTTCCTCTGCTTGCCCTGTTCTTCACTCCTTTCCTTCGAATCATGGGCCAGCAAAAATCGACCTACCAGTTAGTCAACCAGCGTGTGCCAATCATAGCCTCTGACCTCTAGTGTCCTTGACCAAGGGCAAACAAAATAAACTGCCCTATCCAGCCGTCGAAACAGCTACGGTGAAGCCTATAGCGCCGTTCAAATATTCACCGGTAACGGGAATGCCGCCAGACTACCAGCTACAGCAGTTACCATTACAACAAAATTTCTATAACCAGCAGCAACGCCATCATCATCCACGACAAACACTACGCATTAGGAGACGACCACACTATCGCCAACAACCTTTCCTTTGCGCGTCAATTCAAACGAACAGACCGCTGGGGCCCGCGGGACATCTGCTGAGGCAGACTAAGAAAACAAGGCATGTAGGCAAAAAACTAAGCAGCAATCGTGCAGAAAGAACAGCAGAAGACACTATACGTACATGGGCATTGAGCCCGTAACTTCGTTTCGGCTAATCCCTCTCTCCCTGTTGTTGTTTTTGTATTCTTCTCTTCTATCAACTGACTATGAGCGACAGTTAAACTGATGAAGTTGTCGTCGGCGTCTGGCAACAGAGACTCTAAGCCGGTTACTGTTGCTGAACGCTGTGTTTTGGCAATAATGATACTAATAAGAAAAAAAGGAAGCACATTATACCGAGCGCCAGCAGAAAGTAAGTACACAATGGCTCGAGCGACTCATGTGAACTGGCATCTATCTAGACGACTTTTGCTGCTTTTCAAGCAGCGTTTCATCTAAACGGGTTTATCTAAACTTGAAACTAACTTCGTTAATTTCCTTAGCAATATGAAAATAAAATCTATGAAAATTTTATCGGTCATAATCGTTGAAGGCTCGCTAGTGACGCCATTATAGTTATACAATGTAGCGCTTAGGGCTATGACCGTACGGCTACTATACCAGTAGAGGAGTGCGGTAGAACATTTTTTCTTAATTCACTTAAGCAGTCGATGCTTTATACTCTGTGAGTATCTGATTGAGCTGGGCAGAATCCTTTTTCCTGGACGTATGCACACTGAACAAATAGTGTACATATACCTCCTTGAAAGGATGCTACAACGTATTTAGCGACGAAGGTAATGAATGAGCTTCAGTTCATAGTCTTACGATTCACGCAAATACGACCCATATTTTTACAGTGAAATTCCAAACGACCTGTAACTCAGGTGTCCTTCATCAAAAACAACTGATCAAAGCATTTTTAAACCTTAACGATGCTTACTTTAGCATATGTACTGCGTTATCGGCAGGCGTAAGACGACAAAACAACAATCACAATTTTTGTAGAAATAAATGTTATTTCATAGCCGATCTTTCTGGGAACTACGCATTTTCTACACAGTAGTACGACAACATAGGATAAATACAGTAAATACCATGACAACTATTATAATGATCATCAGCGTCACTATCCAAAAGGAGCTCTATTGTAATTCAATGTTTTAGCGAAAGATATGGCCATGTCGGAGCAAATCGATCGGGTGCCGCGATGCTATCGCAGTACAACCGTGACCTCTGTCTTGTCAGAGTGGTTCTCGTCAACCTCCCAGCCGCTGTCCCGGTTTTTGTATATCGATTATAGGAGAAAAAATTACTATTATTCATAGTTCAACCATGTCTCCGCTGTCGTCCTTTGTCGCGAATCACTTATCATGCTGTTATTATAATGGGTCGAGCCGTGTCGAGGGACGCACGCCCGCCCGCAAAAAGGCGATCTGAGGATATCATCGTGTTGCACTGCTCGAAGAGGAAGTCCTATACAGAAAATACTTAATACTAAATTTTCGTTATTCAAATTTGCTTGCTGATGTTATTACTAGCCACTGAATGTATCATTGGAAGAAGCTGTCGTTGCTGCCGTCCTGGAAGCACTATAAAAATGGGCTAGTACTACTGCTTCCTCATATAAAATGCGCGAACTTTTTTAAGAAAATTGGAACTTTTACTGCGATATTTCGTTTCTTGTCAGCAAACAGGTTCGTCTGTGCACTCTTTGTGTTTACAAATGTCGAGTTGTGTTGTTGTCGTCGCTGCTGTCAGTGTTGTTGTTTGTATCACCACAACGCCATTCTTGTACGCTATCACCGTTTTGTCTAACACCTCACTATCTCAGTCGTTAAGGGACTTATAACGCCTGTACGTATTGACGCCGCAAAACTTCGATTTTCCTGTCAAACTGGCTCGAAGGTTCGCCTCGTCCGTTGGAATTCAGTAATCATCATTACCACTGCGTATCGCAGACTATACGAAGAGTTGCTCGTAGCAAGGTATGGGCAGAGGCAATACAACAAGGCTAATATTTTTCATAAAAGCGCGCATATCTAGCATCAGTAATCAATGGTAACTAAACTGGTTTAATCATCAAGTGTGTATGCCACGTTCGCCAGCTCGTTTTGTTAGTCATCTAACGCGTCTTCAATGAAGGAACATATTGTTTGCGTACAGGCCAGACGAATGAAGAGCTTCCAAATTTTCAGCGTCACAGATTACCCGTTTAGCCTCTGGGCAACGGGAACACTTATAATCGCACATAGAGTTGTGATAGATGTACCGTATATATATAATTGAGACGCCTTTGATAGTTTTGCACGTTCTAGTTAATACGTGACCGTTAAAAGACCGCTATATTGCGTTCAAGCAGGTACACGTACGGCCACACGTGCGCTACAGCCGTAAGAAAAAGATCTCCATATGTTTGCACAAATGTGCTGATATAGTTGATGCGTCAATAGAGCGCTCATTAGTATTCGACGACCGTATAGAGTAGATTCAACTGTCAGACGGTGTATGCAGATATTAGATAAATAACTGTGACGAGTGCTGGAGAGTAGTTTTCAAACGAAGTCTGAAGTACTGTAATAGTATACTAATAATTGGCCATCGGCCCGTCCACTGCCGTAAAAATAGCTATCTAAAAAAAACTTCAATCGCAAATTGAATCGAACAAATGCGTCATTCATGACAGTATATGTATTCCGTGAAGTCTAATTTATTTTAAACTTCATCGTTCTGTTAATCTCTTTCCCTCTCTCTGTTGTTTTTAGTAACTCAATGTCAGATTTCCAGATCGAGCCATCTTACGATTCACCTTCTGACCTCACGATACGGACTGCTGTACACAGTCTTGTTTTTTTTTCAATATCGAATAGAAGAATGTCCATACTCGTGTGTATGCTCGCTCTGCTATATGTGCGCGAAGTACTTCATGCCAGTATTCTGCCGTCTGATCCCTGACATTGTCGCTACGTTTGCTTTGTGCTATACCGCCAGATTTGAAACTGTATCAGTCGGTATGCTGAGCTGCTAAGGGACACGCAAGCGATCCTTAGACAGACACACACTGATCGGACAACTACTTATGATATGACAATGGACAAACTAAAAGCAGCAGTAAATAAATTGACGTCTGCATCCGCATTACCTTTCCCCTGTCGATACGTAAACAAGCAAACGCAATCGATAGTCATAACATCACCGCTACTGTCGTTATCAGAAGAAGCCAATGGGTTATGGCATAAGCTTGTTTAATTTCAATTAGTTCTTTTTCGGCTCGCCTAATCTGCAAGCGGT